ATCTCACAAAATCTATCTTGTTTGCACTTATTAGGAACTATCATTCACTTACTAAGATTACAATGGAAGGCATTTGAAGAGAGAGTGCAGAGAATTCTGATTTCTTTTAAGGATTTTGACGTAAACCCTCACTTAAAGTTTTTAAGTTTGGGTCACAATTCCTTAATAAAAAATAAAGACATTATAATGTTTCTTTCATTTTCCCTAATTTGCAGCATCTTGATTTAAGATATTGCTATCGCATAACTGAAAAAATATTTGTCAAGTTCTAAGTAGATGTTCTAAGCTTAGACATTTGAACTTGGCCCATTGTGATAAAGTGACCAGACTTAAAATGAACTTTGTAGTTCCTCAACTGGCGGTGTTGAATTTGTCGAATACAATTGTCGATGACAAAACACTCTATCAGATCTTGAAGAGTTGTTGTAGACTTTTACATTTATCACTTAAATATGACAAATGAACATGCTTCTGATGTTGTGCCAATGATTTTATCAAAGAGAAAACTCTTCTCACCTAGTTATCAATATCTTGTTTTCTAAAGTTTTAATTCTGTTTTTAGATTTGTTTCTATAACAAATTACTTTTTTTTAAGAATAACAATTTACAAATATGTATTTAATCGTTTGTTGATGATAATCATTGAAATATAGTTTTAGATTTTTCTATAAAGTTTAAAATTTTGATGTTTTTCTTTACTCTTGAATTATATTACTTGGATAAGAATTGTGTCATACCCATTTTCTTATATTGAAATATGTAAGAAATATCCCAAAACATCAATGGCTTAACTGACCTTTGGATTTCTTAGCTATATCTGGATGTTGTTGTCTTTGGTTGGATTGGAAAGATAACAATATAGTTTAGCAGTCAACTTGACTTCTGTTTTGATTCTGCTTCCAAGCTGTGAACATTTTCATATGGTTTGAGCTTATATTATTATACCTTAATTAGCTTAAGAGACAGTGTTTCACTTTGAGGTGTAGTATGAGGCACCGTGCAGTTTAGTCGTGGGTTTCTGCTGCAGTCTGGTTACGGGGAGTGTGGTCGAGGTGGGTATGCTCTGCAGCAGCGGGTCGAGTTTGCTGTTTCTGGTTTGTTCTAGTGCAGGGAGATTTTTCAGCCTGGTGCGGCCTATCCACACTATTGTTACGATCTACTGCAGCCTGCAGGTTAATCGCACTGCCATTTCGGTCTGCTGTGGCCTATCCTTAGAGCTGTTTTCAATTTTAAATTTTAATCATTTGTATTAGTATACATGATGCCGAAGGTGGGAGTGATTGAGCATTCATGAAACAAAATGGATGATGTAGGATGAAATAAAGGACGTGATTCAAAATGCATGCATGTATGGAACTGGTGGTTGAGGTTAGACTGGGGCTTCTGAACTAAAGTTTTGCTAGCTATTAATGCAGGTTATACCAATGGTATATAGTTTTAGTGTTGTAATTGGAGTATGTGTCATTCTCAGTTATATATATATATATATAACACTGACACGCGTAATCATATTCTCATATCTTTGCATTAGTGTCAGTTCTCTGTGATGTTTATGTTTGCGTCCGTGAATCATAGTGCAGCAGAAGCATTGTGGGATTCCATGGCTCTCCTTCTCCAGAGTTGTATTGTCGCTTCCTAAGGCCTACCCAACCATGCCAAGAAAAGTGAACATTATCATAACTTGAAACATAACCTTATCCTTATGACTGCTAACTGATGACAAATTCAAATTTCTCTATAATATTGTGATTATTTCAAAATAGTTAAATTAAGAACAAATAGTAATTTCACTAATTCGAAATCAGCACAAAATTTGAGTATGTTATCTATTATTAGTCCTAAAGAGAAGGTTTTACTTTGAAGTTATGATGTTCACATTTTATCGGTATGGTTGGTTATGACTTATTACGAGGTTACAATGCTATATATGGGACATCATTATGCAACACAATGAACAATAAAGGAAATCAAACATGCATATTAGAAATACTATTCATTTTCTTTAAACTATTCTCATATCTTAGTTTAAGTATGATTTTGTTTCCACCATACTGTATGCCATGTCTATATGATAAAACAGAGGTTTCCACTATGTACGAAAACATTCATACTAACTTCTAATCCTTAACAAATTAGATCCAGAAACCAATGATATGAAAAAGTAAAACATAATATTTTCTTGAGTATCCAACTAAATTAAGAGGATAATTAATATCTCAATTTGTAGAATAATATCAACAACAATCCATAGCAAAATAGAAATCAAGTTGACTGTTGAGTTAAATAGTTAATCTTTCCAAATCCAACCAATGACCGAAACAATCAACAATCAAGTTGACAAAAATAACAGCACCACCTGGTTGTATTTTAAGCAACGCAGAGAAGAAACTTTTCAAGCTTCAAGGATGCCTTATTTGCTAGCTGTTATCATTTGTAACACGTTTTTGTGGTTAACTTGTTTGAGAAATTTCCATTTTTATATAATGTAAGCAATTCGGTGTTATAATGTGATTTGATATCAGAACAACATTGTTTTCTGAACTGAACTAATTAACCATTCAATTATGTAGATATAGGTGGATTTAGCTGCCTTCTTTAGTTGGAAGCTTGATTTCTATCTTGATTCAAATTGCATATTGTGAATATTTTGCTATGGTTGTGTGTTGATATTATTTTATAAATTGAATAATTCAAAATCCTATTATGTATTTTGTTATGATCTAATTTAGTGTTCAAAATTAGAATTTAGGATTTGGATTGGAATAGTAGATGTTACCAATTAATCTTTAATGGACTTGATTACTTATCGTTATTGCCTATCGGTCGAGATGTTTAAATATGCTGCATATTTAATTTTGTAGTTTTAATCTAGTTTGGTAGACAGATTTTGGAGGTTTTTCATAATCTGTTTCGAAATGACTCCATGGATGTTTGTAGGATCTAATAATACAACTCTAATATGAAAAGCTGGAACAAACAATATTCAAGTGTCAATTGGATGTTTGTAGGACCTGATAATACAATCCGCATTGTGAAAAAGATGAAACAATATTTTGCACTCTATTAAATTTATAAGAAATATGCTTTAGAACGATTAGAAAAATAGCATAGAGAGAGGTTCACATTATAACAAATAAACTACACAAATATCAGGCTGATTCAAATAAAGTGTTTCATCATCAATTTCATAAGTAAACCCGTTAGAAACAAGTGATTTTACATTCGTATTTGCATTACGGGAATGAATAAAGAGACTTAAGTACCTGTATAATTGCCCATGTTGTTGGCAAAAAGGCCAAAAGGCTGGCAAAGATGTCTCCGACAGTGAGGCTAAGCAGAGTAAACATCAGGGCCTGTTTGGATTGATTAAATTGAGTTTGTTTAGCCTGTTTGGGAGAGATTATGAAAACAGTTTATGACATGGCCATAAGTCATTTTCAGCTTATATTCATCAGCTCTCTAGAAAAGTTTATATAAAAACAATTTGACTTTATTTAATTTTTTGTCATAGAAATAATTTATACATAAACGCTTGATTAAGTTAAGTTGTTGTCTGGTTTGTGTTTGACAGGTCAGAAGGCTCGTGTTGCTTGATGTTAGACTTACAGCTGGGGCTCCGTTTAATCTTCTTGGCTTATTCCACACATCTTCAACAGAATAAGAGAAAGTTGGAAGTTGCTTGACCTTAAAGCTTCCATGAGGTACATAATTTTTTCTACGGCGAAACCGGCAAAACTGACAAGGTATAGAGACCTTCATATTCCACAATTCTTTTGAAAATCCGTTGCCTGTTCTGAACTTCCGTCGTGTGCTAATGACTACTATTTGTAGGTTTTGTTCAGCTCAAATTCATTGGTTTGATGACAGTTAGGTGTGCTGGAGATGCGGCATGCTTTTGGAAACAAAAACGGATGCTGATACTCCCGCGATGGTGTGTAAAGCGACAGGGTTGCTGCTTTGAAATGCCGTCAAAAGGAAGCGTGCCGACCCTCAGCATCTACTTTCTGCCATCATTCACGGTGAAAACTGGGTGTCTTTGACAGGTACGCAATGTTGTAATCGCTTTCGTATTATCTGTTCTTCTTTGACTTAGTTCGAAAAGTTGAGACCGGAAATCTTTCCCCTGCCGCAGGTTTTGGAAGAGAGCCTGAAGTTGTCCTTACGCGATTATCTCCTAATCCTCAAAGCAAGTATTCAAATTAAATCCTTCTAAAGGTCCTGCTATAATGGTTGTTTGTTCTGTAGGAAGTTGGACTGCTCCTGTTTCGGTTCCGAATCTCCCATGTCCATTAGAATTGTTTTCACAATTAACGAAAAAATGTTTGGTAATATTCTGCGATTCAAGACGAGTCAAAATGTTGTTGGTGAGATTTTCCTTTTTCAGATTATCCTGCTTCAATGTTGTTTGGAACTTGTTTTGGAAGGATATGGACTTGTCTTCAATATTTGCCCTTTAGTTTTAATTTGATTTTGTCATGAGTTTTTGATTGCATTTTGATTGATACCATCGCGGGATTGGCTGGATTTGTGTTCCTTTTCAACTTGATGTTTGGTGTGGCTCTCGCTGTACTAGGCCCATTTGATAAGCCTCAAGCAACAATACCTGATGATTCAGAAGATGATTCTTCTAATGATAGGACCGTACAAGAAGTTGAATTACCACGCAGAGGTGAGCTTTCTTGATTATATGCATATCCCTTATGAAACAAACATATGTTAGTCTGTCATATAGTTTAGTTCCTGAATATTTTTTCTGTTGTCTTTCAGAAAGTTCAGGAAGAGGAGATTCTGTTAGAGTCCAGCCATGGAAAGAAGAAAGGCATGGTTCTTCCATTTGAACCACATTCTATCACTTTTGATGACATTGTATACTCTGTTGATATGCCAGCGGTAAGATTCACACAAAGAGATATATTCGGCATTTAGATATTTAACTAGACTTATGTTTAGTGAGACCAAAAGAATTTTTCTAACTTAACTCCAATTTCATCTGACAGGAAATGAAGGAACAAGGTGTTACAGAGGACAGATTAGTACTTTTGAAGGGTGTTAATGGCGCATTCAGGCCTGGTGTTCTCACAGATTTGATGGGTGTAAGTGGAGCCGGAAAGACAACTCTGATGGATGTTCTGGCTGGTAGGAAAACAGGTGGACATATTGATGGAGACATCAAGGTTTCTGGTTACCCGAAAAAGCAGGAAACATTTGCTAGAATCTCTGGCTACTGTGAGCAGAACGATATCCATTCACCTCATGTAACAGTTTATGAGTCCCTGCTTTACTCAGCATGGCTTCGTTTACCTTCGGGAGTTGATTCCAAGACCAGAAAGGTCAGTTAATACGAACTATGCCATTTTAGGTTTCATTTCTCCTAATCTATTTGAGGTTGATTGTTCTGACTTTAAGGACATTACAAATGATTGCAGATGTTTACTGATGAAGTCATGGACCTCGTGGAGCTGAACCCGTTGAGGAACTCCCTGGTTGGTTTGCCTGGCGTGAGTGGTCTCTCAACTGAACAGCGCAAGAGACTTACTATTGCAGTCGAACTAGTGGCTAATCCATCTATAATTTTCATGGATGAGCCTACTTCTGGTTTAGATGCTAGAGCTGCTGCAATTGTTATGAGAACTGTAAGGAACACAGTGGACACAGGAAGAACAGTCGTGTGTACCATCCATCAGCCTAGTATTGACATATTTGAAGCATTTGATGAGGTATGTAGTGAACGGTGATAACAAATAAATACTAATGACAAATGAAGTTACCTTTTATAGTTTTTTTCCTCTCTATTATACTTGAATCTGACATATTATTCATATGCAATTCTAGCTATTCCTTATGAAGCGTGGAGGGCAAGAAATATACATTGGACCACTTGGTCGTCATTCTGTTCATTTGGTCAAGTATTTCGAGGTAGGATCCCACTTTACTATAAAATTTACTCAAGTGAATGTCTCCATTTCTTGATTGTAATTAGTTACTAAAGTTTTCAAATAAATTTCTTTGCCCAGAGTATTGAAGGGGTGAGTAAGATCAAAGACGGATATAATCCAGCAACATGGATGTTGGAAGTTACAACTACAGCACAAGAATTTAATTTGGGTGTTGGTTTTACTGACTTGTACAAAAATTCAGATCTATACAGGTACACTAGTGCATATGGATATGAATCTATTAACTATAGTTGCTATTCCTATCATGTTTGTAACATGCTTAAACTGTTTTGTATGGCTCTTCAGGAGAAATAAGCAACTTATACAAGAACTTGGCCAACCTGCTCCTGGTTCAAATGATCTTCATTTCCCTACACAATTCTTGCAGTCGTTCTTGGTCCAATGCCAGGCTTGCTTATGGAAGCAACGTTGGTCATATTGGCGTAATCCACCATACACTACTGTGAGGTTTTTCTTCACCACATTCATAGCCTTGATGTTTGGAACAATGTTTTGGAATCTCGGCGGCAAACAGTAAGTCAAACTGTTTTTAATCAGAAAACAATTCCATATTATTCACCAAACATTATATTTTCTAATCTCTATTTATTTGTAGTCAAATTCTAATACCTTTTGGTGTCTTGCAGGGCAAGTAGACAAGACCTGTTTAATACCTTTTGTTGACTTATAAAGTTTGAATTTAGCCTCGAAAAAGTCGAGGCAAAATGTCCTTTAGCCTCGATCAGGACCAAGGCTAAATATTATGTATGGAGTTTGACTTTAGCCTCGGTCAGGCCCAGGCTATTTTTTGTTTTTTGACACGGCTTCACCGAGACTAATGTAGACACGGCTAAACCGAGGCTAAAGTAGACACGGCTAGACCGAGGCTACTGTAGACACAGCTCTTTTTGGCCGAAGCTAAATGTTAGCTTCGATCGTTTTAGCCTATCCCTGACACCGACGCTACGCCGAGGCTAATTGACTAGTAGCGGCGGTTTTTTACCTTATAGTGTCGGAAAATGGCCGAGGCTAAATACAATATTTCTACTAGTGTTTTTGCCTTATATGCTTTAGAACGATTAGAAAAATAGCATAGAGAGAGGTTCACATTATAACAAATAAACTACACAAATATCAATGTACACAAATATCAATGTAGGCCGATTCAAATAAAGTGTTTCATCATCAATTTCATAAGTAAAACTAAATGATATGAACTTTGCACTGAACGAATTGCACATATAACCTTCTTTGTTTTTCAAATTGATCTCTTTAAACTGCATGTAATTCTTTAACACGTGCTCAATTCTCTCCTTTGTCACATCATCGCAACTTTTTAGTAACATTTGCAAAAATTTAGAACTTCTCTTTGAACACTTGTATATGACAAATTCAATACTTTAATTTAGGAAGATCAAAGTTCATTTCATGTAACACCGTGAACAACCATTTAAGTTCAAATCTCTAATCTTTCAACATCTTTTTAAAACTTAGCAAATACCTTATTCGAATATGTTATCGCAACCGCTCAAACCAAACAACTCTCAATGGGGAGAAAATGGAAGCAAGCATTTTGATGCTTTAAAATCCTAGGCGAAAACTGTTGGCCAAGTGAAAGACTTTAATGGTGGATTTTAAAATCATCAGATTTAAAAATGAAATGTTGAGATTAAAAGATATTTTTAATGATTTTTTTTCTTAATGACACATGATTTAGTAAAAATCAAGAATTTATCTCAGCATTTCCTTTTTAAATGTAATAATTCTTATTTATTCTCACATTTTCATATAACTTATTTATTCTTATTCGTTCTCACATTTTCATATAACTTACTCATACTTTAATTTACAGATTTTTTTTTGTCTAAGCTATCAGTGGGTTTTGGTACAAAGATTGTATCACTATTATGAGACATAAATATTAACACATACAAATAGAGAAAAAAAAAACAAATTTATCTATTGAAAAGTAATAAAAATGATGATTTTTTTACAACACTCAGAATATTTAAGTGCATATATTTTTTTATAAGCCAAAGATATATTGAATATATTTGGGTTCTAGGAATATTCCAACTCACAATACAAATATCTATTCGATATCGGACGATACCTACAATTACATGAAATATAATGGTTGCTTATACCAATCATAAAAGTATAAGAGATTCTATCTTTAGATAGTTTTGATATCCACCACCAAGAGAAATATAAAATTCCCACCATTATCGACTTCAGGTCGCCTACATCACCATTGAAAATAATTTGATTTCTAGTTCACCATTTACACCAACAAACCACCACCTATATGCTACAAATCACCAAACAGTCACGCGCATCAGATAATGAAAACAGACTAGGAAATTATTCATGCAAAGTTGTGCAGCCCACCCATCTTGCGGACCAGAATGATGTTTTCGCACTGTCACCTAATCTGATTGTAATCAACTCCTCAAATTGAACAACTTCATTATCAATATTGATTCTCATCACATCCTTCCACCATAACGGAGCATGAGGAATCCTGAGATTGTTCGCTCTAGACAAAATATTCAACGCAAGATCACCATATTTAACACGCAAAATACCATTCCAAATAGCATCGTCTTCTGTAAGAAACCGCCACAACCACTTACCCAACAGCGCCGTATTGAATATTCTTAAATCTTTCAAACCAAGTCCTTCATCCTCCTTGGTTTTGCACATAGCATCCCAACTTACCCAAGCCAATCATTTCCTTTCATTCGCTCCATGCCAAAGAAAGTTTCTCTGGATAGAAATCAACACATTGAACACTTTTTCTTGGTGCCTTGAAGAATAACAAATGGTGGATCGACAAATTTGTCAAAATCGAGTTGATTAATGTCACTCTTCCTGCAGGGGACAAAAATATCCTTTTTCATGGAGCTAACCTAGTTTTGAAACAATCATTCCCGGCTTCCAAAACGAAATCCTTTTATGATTGTTGCCAACTCTAAGGCCCAAGAATTTAAACGGCACCGAACCAATCTTACAAGTTAGGAACTGCTCTGCCACCTTTATGTAGTAATCACCAACACTAATTCCAAACAAGAAACTTTTCCCCATGTAAACTTTCAAACTCGAGACCAATTCAAAGCCCTTAAATATTGATTTAAGTACATGGGTTGCGGTGCTACTAACATGAAAATTATATGTAAAATTACTTATTTAAATTAAAAAAAGAAAGGAAAAGAATTTAAATGAATGATTTTTAATAAAAAAATTGATAAAAAAACACCCCTCTTTTAATAAATGAAGAAAAAGAGAAAATTAGTACAAGTCTTAAATCAATCACTAACAAAAACAAAACAATGGCAGAAGAAATTATTTTACCAAATGATTGCTGGGAATCTATCTTCGCACTCCTCAACGACGGCGATGACGACGGAAACAACCGTTGCCTACACTTACAATCTCTCTCCGCCGTTTCAAAACAGTTACTCGCGTTAACCGGCCGTCAAAAAATCCATTTCACAATCTCAACTCAAACCGCCCCTTTCGTTCCTAGTCTCCTCCGCCGCTTCCCCAATCTCACCTCCATCGATCTCACGCGCTTCCGCGGTAACCTCGACGCGATTCTCTACCAAATCGCCATTCTCCAATTACCTCTCAAATCGATTAATATCTCTAACCGTCCCACAATTCCCGCAAATGGGTTGCGAGTTTTGGGTAGAAAGATCAAAACTTTAACCTCATTGATATGTTCTCATGTTGCTTCTATCTTTAAATCTGACCTAATTATTATTGCTGATTCTTTTCCTTTTCTTGAAGAACTTGATCTTAGTTTTCATCAGATTATTGATATTGTTGGCTTTGGTATAAATTCTCTTTCATTAGCACTTCCTAAACTTCGTAGGGTTAATCTCTCTGGTAGTTCCTATATTAATGAGATTTCAGTTTTTCATTTTTTTAAAAATTGTAAATTTATTGAAGAAGTTGTTATGCCTCGCCGCACATACGTAATCAAAGATGGTGTTTCTTATAAGCTCGGTGATAAACCAAAAGTTATTCAGTATCCTGGATGGTTTGGAGAAGCTCTCCCTCCAAGGTAGCTTCTAAGCTCCTGATTTTTTTTTTTTCAGTTATATTGAAATTTGGATGTTTAAAATCAAAATGTTTCAAGAGTTTGGTAATTTTTTGGGTTCTTTAATTTTTGGAGTAAACTTCTGGTAAGACGGAGAGAGGTTGATTTGCAAGATTAGGATAATACTTAGACGTCTAAGTTAGCGAGGGAGTGAATAGTGATGGAAGCAAGAGAGTGAAAGTTAGTGAGAGAATGAATAGTGATGTGAGCGAGAGAGTTGATTTGTAAGGTTAGGATAATACTTAGACGTCTAAGTTAGCGAGAAAGTGAAAGTTAGTGAGAATGAATAGTGATCTGAGAGTGAAAATAGATTTGATTACTTAAGAATGACGTGCTTTCTCTCTTTTATAGTGGAAGTGGTTTAAATCGAAAACCGAGAAGAGCGGCGTAAGGCAGAGAATACGAAAGTTCTGTATTTCATTTTTAATGATTTTGAACTCATTTAGCTTCTGCGCCTTATGTGATTCTCATTGATTTTTCTAGTCTTTTTTTTTTCTCTTTGAATAGAACATATCATATTTTTAGCTAGTTACAGAATACTTGTTTCTTGATTTACCTCTTGCCGTAGTTGATGAGTTTTGCTCTTCTATTTTGTAGAGGAAGAAGAACTAGCGTTGCCGAAGCTTGTCCTCCAAGGATAGATTGTCCTCCAAAGATACATAATTCACCTATCATTGAAATGTTAGTATTTTCTGCTCTATGTTGTTTTGTTTCATTGCACATTCATAATCAAAGATAGTGATTCTTCTGCAATCCATGAGAAACCAAGAAGTTATTCATTGTCTCAATGAGTTCTTCTCTTTTATTGTAGAGGGAGATCTTTCATAATCCAGTTCGTCCTACAGGGTACCTTCAATCAACAATAGAGTCCATGGACATTAGTTGTTGTAGGATGCTTACAGATTCAGTTTTCTGTGGAATCCATTCATGGAAAAGGAAAGATTAAGTTTGATTCTAGGTGAAAACAAGGCTTGGTTAGATTTGTGACCTCTATGACAAAACTCTGAATTACTGTGGCTCATTTTCCTTAAGAAAGAGGGTGAACACCAAAAAGAGGAAGAAAAAAAAGGGTATGAAATACATGATAAGTCTGGTGACAATGACATATGAAGTTAGTTACATTCTTTAATTTCATTTTTTTTCCTTCAAATTATATAGCGTTTCAATAATCATAATTTTTATAGATTAGTCAATTGATAAAAGAAATATTTTGATGATTTAATAAAGATTTATCAAATAAAATGACTACGGAATTAACTAAATAACTATTTGATGCACAAATGCATAAACTAGAGTGTTTGAATAAACAACTTAACGAAGGGTGAAGAGAAGTTTGTTACCTAAAGCATGTTTGAATAAGCAACATAGATGAATAATCTGTATTATTTACTAAATCCTAACATTACAAATTATTTCTTTTTGGTAAGATCATTCCAAATATATTTTTGAGAAAACCTTTCTCCCATAAATAAATAGAAAATATTTGAGATGACACAAACTCATGATTGTTTTCATGTGTATAGCTAAAGTAATATTGGGGGGTGGAAAGTTCTTTTTCAAAAATGTGATGATTCAACCC